GTCCTGAGCCGGTGTGGCAGCTCACCTCCACATGTTTGTCCAGGGACCCAGGCTGCTGGCTTGGCACCATCATCCGTAAAGTATCACCATTGTTATCATGGCCCTCCATCCAGGCAGCAGGATTTCTGTGGGACACAGAGTGGTGGGAGAGGGACAGCACCCACTTCTTTAAGGACATTAACCAGAAGAAATTACACAGATTATTTCTGCTTATATGATGTTGGCCAGTCTATAGACATATGGCAAGAAAGACTGAAACGTTGTCATTAATCCCTGGGTAGCCATGTCCCCAGCTAAACTTGGAAGTTCTGTTGTCATGAGAAAAAAAGGAAGAATGAACATTCAGTGACACAGCCCTTGCCGAGGAGCCCAGTTGCAGAGATTAGGCCCCAGGGTGCAATAATACATACCCAAGGGCTGGGCTTGTTATATAATAGAGTTACACTCTTCATACGCAGCATACCTATCGTTGTGTTAAAAATGCCATCAGAATTGTCTTTGGTTCCCAAGACTAGAGCAGGGGACTAGGATTTCACATTGTAACTTTACCAAGGATCAGCACCCAGAAACCTTGTTCTCCCCACCCCAAACAGAATCTCCTGGAGGCAGCAACTTCAGTGTGTATTTTGCTATCATGCAGGATGCAACTCAAAGACATTATAATGTCTTCTATTAATGTCTGCTATTAGGAGACATTTTTTTTCCGAAATATTTTTTCCTGTTTCCACTTTTTTTGTTTTGTTTTGTTTTTTTCTTTTTAACGTGTTACAAAATGTTAGAGAAAAACTTTATCCCAAGGCTGGCTATAGTTAAACTGGATTTACCCCTCTTTTAGAACCCGAAAGCCTCGTGGCTATCTTTGGAGAGCTAACAATTTGTATTTGTGAAAATGCGCAGGTAACAATAATATCAAATATGTTAAATCAACTCAGGTTGCTGATTTTCTTTGAAAATCTCTGCTGGAAGGACCCGGTGTTCTTTCTGGAATGTGACTTAAGCTCCGTTTCAGTGAGCTCAGTTCAGCAAGTATTTGTTGAGCATCTATTGTTTGCAAAGCACGGGTGCTCGGAGCTCAGGGCACATAAGGCTGAAGAAAGAAGTCCCTTTCTTTTTAGTTCAAAATCCAGTTACAAGAGATATAGTTAAATAAGTTTACTCTAAAGCAAACTGAGATCACCTATTAATGAAATTCAAACAACGTGCTATGGAAGGATAAAGGGTGTAGACTTATTTCAACGCAGATGACGAAGGAAGGCCCTGAGAGCATGAGGGATTTGAGCTGGACTTCAGCTCGTGAATACTGATGAAAACCACATCCCATTGTCTCTTGACGGAGGCCAGTTTCTTTTGCTGTTGGAGGGTAAATTTGGGGACACTGGGGAATGCTGATTAGTGGTGAGTATTGGATCATGCTGACTAATGTGTTCTAAATGGATCCACTCAACAATAAAGGGACTATTGAGAGTCAAGAGTTCAGATGCTGAATTTCACCGTGTGATGAAGTGTAAATCACTTAGCTTCTTAGTGCTTAATTTTTCCGTCAATTATAATGTGCTCATGATGAGGATCCAATAAGTCACCTTGTCGAGTAAGTGCTTTACAAACCTCAAGAAGAACAGAAATGCTTGACAATGACTGCCGGGACAGGCTTGTGCAACCTTGGGTCATTCATAGTACACACAGAATCAGAACATCCATCACACACTGCTCGCGAGGCATGTGAAACTCTTATTTCCTCACACATGCCATGAGAACTGCTCACAAAAACTGACAAATAGGGGAGCTTTTGAAAAATCTTACTATCTACCTACTGGGGCGTCTGTGTCTTTCTACAACAAATGTCGCCACAGAACTAAGCGCTGACGTTGCACACCCAGCGCTGTCTCTCTTTTCACATCTCCCCAGCTCGGCTGCTTGAGAACCTGGCCTTCCATGTCCAGATGTTTGCTGAATTCTGAAGGCCCCCCAAAGAGCCCAGTTCTTTTGTTGCTCTCCAAATCATTTCCCACAGAGACTGACCGATGTCCTGAAGGAGCCCTTCAATAGGGAGGATGAATGAAGGCCAAGGAAGACATGACCCCCTGAGGCTTGCCCACATCCACCCTAACAAAGAGTCTGAGGCACAGCCTTGTAAGGAGCGTTTTGGTCAGCAGCGTCCCTATGAGAGGCCACATCTCCCCCACAGGGCTGCTTTCAATGGCTGCCATCACAGTGGAAGTGCTAGGCATTTGTTAAGGGCTGTGGCGCACTAGGTGCAGCAAAACATCTAAATCATGGTCCCTGCCTTTGTGAGCCCTTCCTGGCTACCGATGTCAGCTGGCTTTCTCAGGGGAAACTTGAGGGTAGTAGAGAAGGCCTAAGGGGGGTGCCTGCTTCTATGCATGACCTCTTCCCACCCAGTACAGCCAGACGTCTATAGCCACCAAGCCAGGGGTACAGGACCTCACCCCACACCTCTGCTGGGTTTCTTAGTGTCCTGGTCTGCACGGCAGCTGCTCTGTGGGCAGTAGCTGTAGAAGAGGCCCCTGCTGTAGAAGAGGCCCCTGCTGCACGGAAAGTTTCTTTAAATTGCTGGGGGGAAGTTAGTATATTTCATGACATTTTTTTCCCCAAACTTTCTCTCTTTTTTTTCTCCTTTTAGGCCAACAGAAGCCATAGGGAGACTGTGACCTTTGTGTAGAGCTGATGGGGGCGTGATTTGTGAAATAAAACAGGACCATGCTGCTTGGAAGAAGGAAACGGAAGCCAACATAATGGGGATTAATTAGTTGATTGCTGTTGAGATGGTAACAGATTTGCTCCTGGACCATTGAGCCAGTGATTTCAGACCTAGCAGGGAAGGTGAGGATGAAGAAGCCTTTGTTCAAGTCTCTAGATGTGTAGGGCTGAGGGCTTTGCCGCCATGGGATGTCAACAGCCATAATAATAATAATTTGCACTTATATAGCACCTTTCAACCAGGCACCTCAAAGCGGTTTCACCACATTAATTAATTAAAGCCCACAATCCCCCTGGGGAGAGGAGGAGGATGACTAACAAGATTTGTAATTACAGGAGAGAACATTTCCGAATAAAGCATTGTCTACCAAATAAAAAGAGTAGGTGTAAAGGAATTGGGGTCGCCAAAGAGTAACTGATTCAGAAATGAAATGGAATGATGGGGGTGGTCTGGGGGTGGGCATCAGCATGGGGGCCTGTCCTATGCCAGGGGGAGGCCAATGGGCTCAGAATTCACTGACAGGTTCAGATCCCGCCAAGAAGTGGAGCATGTATGGTATTAGTGGTATTTGAAGGCCATTAGTGGCATAACTATTGTAGTGTAAATTCAAGTTTCATTGGTATACTGTGTATAGCCCAGTGGAACAAAGAGAGAGATTCATGCAGAATTTAATAAAGGATGAAATGATTTCTTTAGATTTAAAGCCCAAAGCTGGGCCAGTCAATTAGCAAATAAATCAATTGCTGACCCATACGATAATTTAGTCATTTCTAGTAGAACACCCAGCCCACCCACTCCTACTGCCATGAAGTTTTTAACTGAAGCATCAGGTTGGGCTCAGTGCAAGGTCTGAGAGCTTCAGCCCCTCCAAAGCCAGGCATTAAATCTTTTTCAGCCTTTGGCCTGCGACCCGTCATCCAGGTTATTAGTGACCGCAAGCTGTCCTCTGAAGAATCACTTTCTACCTGCTCCCTTTTCAGAAGATTTTAAGTAGGCCGGGCCTGGTGGCTCTCACCTGGCACTCTGGGAGGCCAAGGCAGTAGGATCACTTGACCTCAGGAGTTTGAGACCTGCCAGAGCAAGAGCAAGATTCAATATCTACTAAAAATGACAAAATTAGCCAGGTGTTGTGGCAGGTGCCTGTAGTCATAGTTACTCGGGAAGCTAAGGCATGAGGATAGCTTAAACCCAGGAGTTCGAGGTTGCCATGAGTGAGGTTGAAGCCAGAGCACTGTAGCCTGGACAAGAGAATAAAACTCTGCCTCAATAATAATAATAATAATAATAATTTTTTCAGCACTATGGGAGCTCAAATTAAGCTGTACCCTATTTCATGTCCCCTGTTCGTCCCCAACAGAGTGCTTTGCACAAAATAGGTACAGATTCCTACACTGAATACCTGAGTCCTTTAACAATTCAGTATGGTATCTGTTGAGTATATACCAAAGCAAAAGGAGAAAACAGTAAGATGTGTGCCCACCCTCAAGAAATGTATTACAAGGAATGGGAAAAGACTCACAAACTACTACCTATGTCATGAAGCAGGATCACAAGCAAGGGCAAAAGGAAAAGAATCTTACTCGTCTGCAGGGTCAGGGCAGGTGTTCCTGGGGATTGGGGGAGGTGTTCCTGGGGGGGGGAGGTGTTCCTGGGGATCTGGGGAGGAGATCCTGGGGGGGGAGGGAGACCCAGCCCTG